AACTGAAGATAACACTTTCAGAGTAGGGTACGTTGCCTTGTATAAACTCACGAAGTTCCCCCACCAAACACCACCTATAGGGTGTTTTGGAAGACAAAAATTGTAATGGCACTTGAATCCAACCAGACAATCAACAAGTACAATGCGTAATAACGTCATATGAAAATGCTCCAATGCTATTCCATGGTCAATAGAAACCTTCTTGTTTTAGTTTAATTGTGTAATATATAAATATTTATAAATTTCAAGGGAATAGCTTTTTGGTTGCCATAGTGATATTATTTTCAAATAATACAATAATGCACAACTTTATTGCCTTCCTGTGAAAAACTTATTGGTAAATAATCATTTCTTCAGTGTTTAATAAACGAAACTATTATTTTATTTTCAAGATGGTTTCATTCAATCGGGAACTTTTAGTGATTCGCTCAATTTTCAAAACATTTCGAATTGGCAATGTAGAAACAACATTGACGTAATAATACTGTGTAATATAACGAAGCGGTCCTTTTATTTCACAAAATATAGAGTCCCATTTAAACAAACCCAAACAAAACGACACAATATCATACAAGGCAACACAATATAACAGTAAATGTAACGTATATAACACTACAAGTAAATGTAAGATTGCAAATGTAAATCTATTTTTGAAATCAAGTGAAATTACAAATTGTAAATTGCATTTGGAATTGTAATTTTTATTCTTACAAATAATTTAAGTTTATTACCGGTTAATATAATTGTGAAACAAACAAAATAATTTTAAAATATCAATAAAAATGTTAAAATACGAAAAACCTGACGCTTTTCAAAAAGCATGGCCTTATAGGTGCCGTATAGGTGCCATGAAACATAATGTTTAACGAGTATTGAGGTCACCATATTTTAAGACAATATTTGTGACAAAATCGCGATGCAACAAGCAAACATTCTTTTTGTTTCATTACATAGGATAGGTAAAGGAGAAATTGATGGTTGGTTGTATTTTAGTGGAAAGTTGCCATTTTTACACTATTATAACACTTTTACCACAGGTTCATATGGCAGAGATATTATGCAATATCTCAAAATCTAGCTTGGTGACATAGGCTGAAAAAATCATATATTGTTTGTGATGGAGTACTTATTGTTGTTCTGAATTATTTTAAAAAAAATTTAAAAGTGTCAAAAAATTTAATTTTTCTTTAACATTGTATTCTATGGAATTGTTCTAAAAATAGCAATTTTCAAGAAATATTATGAGAGACACGTTTCTCAAAAAGCATAACTGTAACACACAAAATAATACTATTTCAATTTACCATGCTTTAGCTTTATGATTGTAAATAAATTAATGAACATTGTCATGCGATTTATGACCGATTGTGTCTGAAATTGTGAATTATGGTGGTCGTTGCGCCGCGTCCTGTTCGATATGGGACTCATGGAGACGTACACAACGCGTGTAACATACATTGTTTGTTTACATGAAAATCGAACACGCGCTGCGCGACGACTACCACCCTTTAATAATATTTGAGTATGTTATTTCTAATTTTATTTTCCTCTTCATAGTTCATTTTTTTTCAATTGTAGGTTAGTAATTTATTTTGTTTTATTGTTATCGGCGTCGATGTAGTGGGAGTCGCTTCGCCCACAGATAGCGGCTTGGGAGTAAGGTTTCCGGCCATGATCTGACGAATGTACATGCTACAGTTGTATGGATATGGTCAGTGTGAAATGTAACCGCTAATAAAATGGCGGAAGCCATGTCCATTCCAAGACGGAGAAAATGTGAAGGATTTATCTTGTGGGCGTTTCATATCGTTAATGTCTGTGTCTGAGCATGGTATTTTACGTCAAACCACCCCGTGGGAAAGTACCGCTAGAAACACTACGCTCGTATTGCTTGGCCCGAGTTCGATTTCTGTGCCGACTGTCGAAGTGCGCCACTGAAGTCGAGTTTCAGAAATTATGTCAACAACAGTGCTTGGTAAAAGATTCGGAGTGCTTGATTGAGGGTTCCAAGCAAGACTCGATAACACATTTCACTCTGAGGTAGGTAGTACCTACAATACTACATGACAATTTACCGTAATACTAATGCCAAGACACATTACATCAGTTTTTATGCCCCCCCCCCGGGGGGGGGGGGGTGTTATATGACCGTTTTAGGAATTGCTGTTCAAAGGGGATGTGTAATGGTTTTAAATATATGCCTGTTGTCCTTGTATA